GAGCAAGAACAAAAAAGAAGGGGGGGGGGGGGGGAACTGTAGCTGGATGAAACAGGAAATGGGAGTTTATTGATTTCAAATAAAGCACACAATTAAAGGACTGCGTGCCACTTTTGTTTACTTTTTTGTTCCTGTATTTCTCTTTTTTTTATGTACATGATTTACACTACAGTTTAAAAAGCAGTAATTTTTTGTAAAAGAAATGAATACTGAAAAAATGTTGTTCTTCCTATTCATTAAAGAAAATGTACCACAGTTTCTACAAAAATATATGAAGCAGCACAACTGTTTTCAACATTGATAATAATCAGAAATATTTCTTGAGCAGCAAATTAGAATGATTTCTGAAGGATCATGTGACACTGAAGACTGTAGTAATGATGCTGAAAATTCAGCTTTGATCACAGAAATAAATTACATTTTAAAATATATTACAACAAAAAACACTTCTTTTAAATTGTAATAATATTCCACAATATTACTGTTTTCACTGTATTTTTAATCAAATAAATGCAGTCTTAAAAAGCAGCATAAGAGGCTTCTTTCAAAAAGAAAAAAAGGTCTACACTGTACATTCATATAAAATGTTTTTATTTGTATATTTTCCTTTTAATTTTTGTCTTTATATATTATTATTATTATTATGATTACTACTTTTACTATTATTCATGATAATATAGTTTTTATACATTTTTTACATGTTTTAGATTTTAGTTAATTTATTAGATCAACTCAAACCAAATGAAAATGAGAAATGTTATCTTGGAAAATAGTTAATAGATAAAATAATTTTAAGCTTTCTCTCTCTCTCTCAGTTAACCTTTATGGTCACACTTTATTAACTACGACTTTTGCCTCAACTCCCAATTTACTGCCAATAGTGCGGTAGTTGATAAGTTTAGGTATGTAGTCTATGGTCGTGTAGAATATGTGCTTTATGAGTACTAATAAACAGCCAATATTTTAATAATATGCATGCAAATAAGCAACTAGTTAATAGTAAGAATTGGTCCCTATACTAAAGTGTTAAAGGGGTCATATGATGCGATTTAAATTTTTCCTTTCTCTTTGGAGTGTTACAAACTCTTGGTGCATAAAGAAGATCTGTAAAGTTGCAAAGACTAAAGTCTCAAATCCAAAGAGATATTCTTTATAAAAGTTAAGAGTCAGCCACGCCTACCTAAAACGGTTCGTTCTAACACGCCCCCACATGTCGACGTCACGATGTGGGAAGATCTGCATAACGCCGCCCAAATGTTCACGCAAAGAAAGAAGGCGTAACTTTTATTCTCGCTGTAGTATTGTTGCCGCCGCCGCCATGTCGTGAAGGCGCGTTACTGTACATAATAATAATATAGGATTTTACACATTTTTATAACTGATTTAACATCACTTTGACATCACAGACTGTTCACAAATAAAACTAAATAAATTCTGTACACAACTACACATTTCCTTATCAAATTAAAAGAAAACATTTACAAACGGAATTTATCCAACAATATGATCTCAAACACACACACACATCCACATCAAAAATGGCCAATGCTTATAATTTACAGGCTCAACCAATGGTGTGAGTTTTGGGGCGGGACTATCTAACTGACCAATGGAAGACAGATGCCTGTAACTTGACTGAAAACACTGCAATCAATAGAGTGCTGAAAGGATGACAGATTTTTGTAAAATGTGCGTTTCTGTACATCTTCGTTTCATCATCTTGATGTCAATGGGTTTTTGTTAAATGAGTGAAATAAGGTCTGTGGTTTAACAAGATATTTTCACATTTTATTCTACATCATTTAATACATCAGTGTTGGGGGAGTAACGCATTACAAGTAACGTGAGTTATGTAATCAGATTAGTTTTTTCAAGTAACTAAAGTAATGCATTACTTTTTCATTTACAGGAAAATATCTGACTAACTTTTTATTTTCCCATTTATTCACTGACAGCTCTGCTGTCCTGTGCTGAGAGAAAGTGCAGAGGCAGAGACACTTCCTTCAGCCTGAGGCTTATTCATTTCACTTTTGGTGTGACAGGGCCTTTACACTTACCAAAAATATAACTTTTGGGGGGGGTTTTGTTATTAAAAATAAATAAGCAAGCCCAGCTCAGGTGACAGAAAGTAACACAAAAGTCACGTTATGCATTTCTTTCCATAAAAAGTAACTGCAAGTAATGCAATTAGTTACTTTTTATGGAGTAACAATATTGTAATGCATCACTTTTGTCTTAAAAAGGTGGTCGAAAACAAGTGTCTAAATGGGACTACAGAGGTTGTCATGCTGAACCAGTGTTAGAGTATTACTGAAATACTTTGATAGTTTTTATCAATATTAGTTTTGTCCTATTTCCTGCTTTCACTGTAATATTAAAGTTTTAGTAATTTTGTTGTTTTTTTGTTTGTTTATTTTTCAGTTTTAATTTTAGTACATCAAGTTAAACTAAATGAAAATGAGAAATCTTGCCTTGACAACTAGCAAAAAAGTAGATTTTTTTTTAACATTTTATTTTATTTCATTTCAGTTAACCTTTACTTATTTATTTATTTTAATGATTTTAGTTAACTATAATAACCCTTTGCCAGACGGGTAAACTCATCTACTCATTAGTCGCTGTCACTGCCTCATTGTGTTTATAATCACACTCTTGCAAAGTATTCAATCTCAAACTTTTAGAGAAAATGTTTTAAAGGAGACATATTATGCCCCTTTTTACAATATGTAATATAAGTCTCCGGTGTCCCCAGAATGTGTCTGTGAAGTTTCAGCTCAAAATACTCCACAGATCATTTATTGTATCATTTAGAAACACGCTGTTTTTCGTGCCTGTCTCTTTAAATGCAAATGAGCTGCTTCTCCCCGCCCCCTTTTCCAGAGCATTACAGCTCGGACCTGCTAAAAACATCTGTTTTGGTTCTGATTATCATGTTTATCGTGCTGAAATCACGCATTTTAAACCATATTAGTTTAAACTTCTGAAATATGGTTTTCTGAGCGCACACGTACAGAAAGCGGCTGTCACAGCATGTGAGTACTATATTGCAGCAGCAATATACAGTAAATAAATCAATAAATGCACTGCTGTGTTGTCTCCTCTGAGGCTGGGACTCTAAACAGTGTTCTGTGCTCGTCTGTGCAGCCAAAGGCAGAACAGTTAGCATGTTTTGCGTCACCTTTAAGTGAAAAATTTAAGAGTTAAAGAGAGTTAAGAGTTAGGCCCCGTCCACACGGAGATGCGTTTAGCTGTATATGCATAAATGTTGTATTCAATAGGCATTTCGTCCACACGGATCCAGCGTTTTGCGAGAGTGAAACCGATATTTTTTGAAACCGGGTCCCAGAGTGGATAAATCTGAAAACGCCGCCCTTGCGTTTTCGTGTGGACAGCGAATCCGTATATTTACGGCCCCTAGTCAGACACCGCTACATCACGTAACAGCAACAAAAACATGAACAAATACTGAACGATTGTCTTTTTATTAACTAACATTAACACAGATTAAAAAATGTATTATTCCATGTTCGTTTGTATACCGCACGCAAGGTTTATGCGCATAGTCTGAAGTCGTCTTTTCCATTTTTAGTGTATCTCTGTGGTAGAATTACAGCGCCACATGCTGGTCTGGCATATATACTACATCGTTTTGTGTCGGTTTCATGGTTTCGTGTGGACGCAGATATTTCTTGAGAAAAAAAGATTGTATAGGGAATAGAGCTTTTTACTTCTGGCAATTGTATGCATGCTTCAGAATTCATAAAAAATTGTGAAGATTATCATGATGAACAAAACATGTAAGAATCACAAACTTCTGTTGCTCACAGATCTTATTTTCTACAGTAATCCAAAAGCCGATGGAAAACCCCTATTGTGTTTTTGTCAGATAAACCAGGGTGACGCTGACTGCAAAAACACGTCATCACTTCAGCGCTCTATTGCATTTGGTGCATCTTGTGGCAAAGAAATGAACCTCTTCGGCATTAAATATGTTAAACTGATGTCCACAGCCTGTGTGCGCAGGGTTTTCTGTGTGTCTGATGAGTAAACGCACAGAAATCCGGATGCTCCTACAGGCGGGACAAACAGGAACAGAATGACTCCACTGCACAAAGGGAGGAAACACTGATATGCTCGTTCACACACACACACACACACACAGACGGATGGAGTCGTCGGGCCGTTCTCTCAGTTAACACAAACCTCCCTCATAATCGTCATCTTCCTTGGCCGGTGGCAGGCCGGCGCTTCCCCCTTGAGGAGCAACAGGAGATTTCTTCTTCTTCCCGCCGCCTCCACCGGGCACCCTCAGAGAGATCGCCAGCTTGGCATACTGCACAAACACAGACCAGAAAACAGCTATTGATAATGCCACTGCATGATTACTGGAGTTTTGAAAATATAGTGAATGCCTAGTACATATGTTTCCACCAAGGTTATCATTAATGAAAACTAAAACAAAAACAAACAAAAAAATACAGCCTGTGTGCGCAGGGTTTTCTGTGTGTCTGATGAGTAAACGCACAGAAATCCGGATGCTCCTACAGGCGGGACAAACAGGAACAGAATGACTCCACTGCACAAAGGGAGGAAACACTGATATGCTCGTTCACACACACACACACACACACAGACGGATGGAGTCGTCGGGCCGTTCTCTCAGTTAACACAAACCTCCCTCATAATCGTCATCTTCCTTGGCCGGTGGCAGGCCGGCGCTTCCCCCTTGAGGAGCAACAGGAGATTTCTTCTTCTTCCCGCCGCCTCCACCGGGCACCCTCAGAGAGATCGCCAGCTTGGCATACTGCACAAACACAGACCAGAAAACAGCTATTGATAATGCCACTGCATGATTACTGGAGTTTTGAAAATATAGTGAATGCCTAGTACATATGTTTCCACCAAGGTTATCATTAATGAAAACAAAAACAAACAAAAAAATCTTACTTAAAATAAGCAATGTATAAAATATATTAAAAAACAACTTTAACATTTTATTTCAGCTAGTTGTAAAGACATTGTTGTACTAAATAAAACATTTTTTTTTACATTTTTGTACTAAAGTACTAAATTAACCCAAAAAATAAAAGCTAAAACTAAAAAAAGATATAAAAACTACACAACAAAATTGCTAAAATTACAATTAATTCAAAGTATTACAAAAAGTAAACAAAGTATAAATATATTTCAGCGATAATAAAATAACAAGAAAGCTAAATATTTTTGTAAAGATGTTCATTTTCAATGATAAGTGGTCTTGAAAAATGTATATACTAGCGTGTACACTATTATTCAAAGGTTTGGGGTCAGCAAAAATTTTAGAAATGAATTTAATGAAATATTTAAAGAAATGTAAGGTTTTTAAGAATAATTAAATTAATACTTTTAATCAGCAATGATGCATTAAATTGATCACAATGGACCTTTCTAGTGTTACTTAAGATTTCGAATAAATGCTGTTCTTTTGAACCGTCTATTCAGCATTGCCATCACAGGAATAAATTACATTTAATACAATATATTAAAATAGAAAACTGTTGTTTTAAATTGTAACCGTTAAGAGACTTCTTTTAATATATATATATATATATATATATATATATATATGAATTATACATGAATTATTATGATTAATTTCTATTTTTATTTTACTTTAATAAAATTTAAGTAGCAAATATTTAATATAATTTAATTGAATATATTTTTTGATATCATTTTTTTTACCTGATACTGAGCTAAATGACTGCTTTCTGAGAGTGTGTTTTGTCATTTTTATTAGTTTTAAATTATGCCATTATTTCTGTGATTATTTCTGTGATTTAGCTATGATTCCATGGTGCATATTTGCATAATGCCCGCCTACTGCTGTTTTGACCCATCCACAAGGACTGTTGGAAAGCCAATTATGGTAAAGAGCGGTACATTTCGGACACACACAACCTAATTGCCTGACCAGTCAACAACGTGGGTCGACTGACCAATCAGAGAAGACTTGGCTTTTTGGAAGGCGGGGCTTTAAAGAGACAGGAGCATTTCAAATCATCATTTAATAAATCATCACAATGTGGGCAGTTTAATGCTTGAAGACGCACCTGCGCAGTCTCACCAGAAGTCTGGAGGATTTTCCCAGAAGCTCTGCGGCCTGTCTGAGACGATCTTCATTCTGAACACAACACAAACCAGTTCACATGGGTTATGGATGATTTTCGATCATTTCACGTTTGCATTTCCTCACCTCAAACACAGATGCGGCCTTCTGATACAAGTCCACGGCTTTCTCCAGATCGATCGGCTCGATGAGTCTGAAGAAGTGGATGGCACTAGTTAACACCGGTAATGCATATTACAGTTAGTTTACGCATAAGAAACTACACAAGCAACCTCTCGAAAAGAGTTTCGATCTGTTTACTCACTTCCCAGCTCTGTCCAAGGCTATTCCAGCGGTGCCAGACGTCCCGTTCTCCACGTACATGATGCTGGCCTTCTCGATCAGCTGAATGGCCTCAGGCATTTTCTTCATGTCCTGCAGGTGTAGAAGAGTCACTCACACACACACACACGTCTCAAACCTGCAGGCCATCCATAACAACCACTGCATGACCAACTCACCTTCAGCATCATGCCAGCCTGTTCATACGCTCTGAGAAGAGGAAAAGCGTGTTTTATCGTGGGTTACATTGTACAGATGTAGAAGTAAAAAAAACTATAGTTCAATTAACTACAGTAATATGATTGAACTATTAAAGGAAATTGGTCAACTATAGATTAGTTTAGTAAATGTATAGATTAGAGTTAATGAGTAGCCTAATAGTTATTTGAAACATGAATGGTCACTTACTTTGCTGCATGGAAGAGTCTGAGAATTTTAGTTAAGTAAATATGAGTATCGAAATGAGAGACTAAACTAAAAACCAAAAACCAAAAGTTTGGGGTCGGCAGGATTTTTTAATGTTTGAGAAAGAAGTCTCTTCTGCTCACCAAGGCTGCATTTATTTGATCCAAAATACAGTAAAATAGTTATATTGTGAAATATTATTACAATTTAAAATAACTGTTTCTATTGTAATATATCGTGATTTGTAATTTATTCCTGTGATGCGCAGCTGTATTTTCAGCATCATTCCTCCAGTCTTCAGTGTCACATGATCTTCAGAAATCATTCTAATATGCCGATTTGCTGCTCAAGAAACATTTCGGATTATTAGCAACGTTGAAAACAGTTGTTCTGCTTCATATTTTTGTGCAAAATGTGATTTTTTTCTTCTTCTCAGGATTATTCGATGAATATAAAGTTCAAAAGAACAGCATTTATTTGAAAAATAAATCTATAATTGTCTTTACTGCTACTTTTGATCAATTTAATGGACCCTTGCTGAATAAAAGGAATAATTTCTTTCCAATAATCAATCAATCTTACTGACCCCAAATGTTTGACAGTATTGTGCATATATATGGCACATTCTCCCTATAAATTTTAGCCAATATTTACAAGAGTTGACATTAAGGTGAATAAATCATACAGTGCCGTATCATTTTATCAGCATAAAAATAAAATCAGATACTGTAAATCTCTGTGGTGTATGCTCTTCTGCACATTAATTCGTTTTGTTTGTTAAATTAACTTTTTCTTCTTCTGTCTAGTAACCAGAGTCTGATGTGCAGGAGAAGGATACGCTTTGTTGTCTGTGTGGTACTCGGCCTCCTTCAGGTACGCATCCTTCGCTTGTTCAAACTGTTTGGCGTTTTTGAAAGCCACAGCTGATAGAGCACCAACAGACATCATGTTATGGTCCTGTTTCACTACATAATGACCTTCATCAATAACATCAGTGCAAGACGTAAGGTTTACATCACCTGCTTTTGCCATCTCTGAAGCGGCTTCATCATAATCAGGTTTCCACTTGGTCATGCTGGTCTTCAAGCTGCATAAAGTAAAACAAATATCGTATGTGTTCACTAGTATCCCAACCCTTGCGAAAAAGAAGTGTGCTTAAATGTATTGAGTGTACACTCAGTGTACTTCAAATATTAAAAGTATATTTTAAAAAATGGTATACTTGCAGGTAATTTAATGATAATAAAATAAAAGGCCACTTAAACGAAAGAAACTTTCATATTGCTTAACATGTGCACTTTTAAAAATGCACTTTGACTGATTAATTTGACAGTAATGTCACATTTAAAGTACATTTTTAAATTATTTAAATAATCTCTTGTCATGCTTTAAAGATGTACACTTATTTAGCAAAAATCATGTAAAGGACTTGATAATTATTTGAACTGTAGTGTGTTATTAGATATTATGTTTAAAGTAAATAGATTTTAAGCCTACTAAACTGCAACTTTATCATTGTAGATGTGGAATTAAAATGTATATTTAAATACACAACATACAAGTTTCAATAGAAATGGCATCAAAATATAATTTAGTTTACCATAAATGCTTCTCGGTAGATTCTGCAGTACACTTTCAAAATATTTTAAAGACTATAGAATTAATTATTAAATTACATATACAGATGTACTTAAGTCCTACTTAAATGGGTCAAAACAGCACTCTTAAGTTGCATTTAATATAAATATAAGCTATAATGCATTTTCATTTAATAACATACAGCTAAGTGTATATGGGAACATTAATTTCAGTTGACACTAAAGTACTATTTTTAAAAGTATGCTAAAGTGTGCTTCTCTTCCACAATGTAACATATATATGTGACCCTGGAGCACAAAAGCAGTGTTGAGTCGCTGGGGTATATTTGTAGCAATAGCCAACAATACATTGTATGGGTCAAAATGATAGATTTTTCTTTTATGCCAAAAATCATTAGGATATTAAGTAAAGATCATGTTCCATAAAGATATTTCTTTCAGTTGACACTAAAGTACTATTTTTAAAAGTATGCTAAAGTGTGCTTCTCTTCCACAATGTAATATATATATGACCCTGCAGCACAAAAGCAGTGTTGAGTCGCTGGGGTATATTTGTAGCAATAGCCAACAATACATTGTATGGGTCAAAATGATAGATTTTTCTTTTATGCCAAAAATCATTAGGATATTAAGTAAAGATCATGTTCCATAAAGATATTTAGTAAATTTCCTACCGTAAATATATCAAAACTTCATTTTTGATTAGTAATATGCATTGCTAAGCACTTCATTTGGACAACTTTAAAGATTATTTTTTTTTCAATATTTAGATTTTTTTGCTCCCTCAGATTCCAGATTTTCAAATAGCTGTATCTCAGCCGAATCGTGTCCTATCCTAACAAACCACACATCAATGGAAAGCTGATTTATTCCGCTTTCAGATGATGTATAAATCTCAATTTAGAAAAGTTGACGCTTGTTTTGTGGTCCAGGGTCACATATTACAAAATATATCATAATAATGCACAATGGCACACAATATAAGAACTAGGTGTTTGAAAACAACATGCAAAGCCACACGCGTGTAATTGAACTTTAGACACAAAATCTTCTGTTTACTGAGACGTGTAGCCTGTGACAACTTGCCCCTGATGAGCACATGAACATGCACTGGATTTCAGGAATGGCCCACATCATCAGTAGAAGCCTCCTAATAATGACCACATCAGGACCACTGCAGCTGTCGCCAAGGTAACCTCTATCACTGCACGCGCGATTACGCAATCAGTCTCGCTGTGTAACATTATAATGAACTCGCATCAGGATCCTTCGGCATCTCGCTTAATCGTTTGGACATGACTGCACCGATACACGAGTTAAAAGCAACATGCACCCGGTTATGCAGCAGGATTAGTGACAGGGTGACTGACAGCGACAGCAGGCCGATCGTAAGTCGGTGTTTGTGTGCGAACTGCGAATGCATGAGCTCTGTTCTGTAGGAGATTATTTTTCATATCTCACCATTTCTCGGCTTTGGCGATGTGCTCGTGCGCCTCGTTGATCTTCTGCGCGGCCATGGCTCTCGGTTTCGCGGATGAAGAGGACACAGCAGACCCGAGGATGAGGATGAGGAGGAAGTAAGAAATGGTTATGAAAAACTGAAACAAGTATTAGTATGCTTTTTAGTAAAAACAAACAGAAAAAAACCTATTGAAAAGGTGACAGATGTCTGCTATTTATTTTCGACATCTGACATATAATATTTATAATGGATAATCTTCCAAGTGTGTTTATTCTAAAAGGAAGTTTGCTCCGCTCTTCCTTTGGAACGCGTCGGAACCGGAAGTGGCGGTGACGTCACGGTAAAAACAAACAGAAAAAAACCTGTTGAAAAGGTGACAGATTTCTGCTATTTATTTTCGACATCTGACATATATTTATAATGGATAATCTTCCAAGTGTGTTTATTCTAAAAGGAAGTTTGCTCCGCTCTTCCTTTGGAACGCGTCGGAACCGGAAGTGGCGGTGACGTCACGGTCGCTCTCGTATTCCCAGCGCAGGACAACAACTGGCTGACTGACTGAGGAGATTGAAAACTTTGAGAAACTCTCCAGAAAAGCCGCTTTAAAGTTGAGTAAAGTTTCCCTCCGTGATGCGCGGGCGTGTTTGAAGCGGACTGGCCGTGTGGCAGATGTGGACCGGCTGTTAGTGGTGGATGGAGTCGGGGTTCGGTGTCCAGCGGAGGGCCGGCGGTGGCTCGCCCGCTGTGGGAGCGTCGCAGCGCCGCAGGAAGATGCCGCCGAGAGCCGCTGATTATAAACTGCAGGTGATCATCATCGGCTCCCGTGGAGTGGGAAAGACCAGCCTGATGGAGAGATTCACGGATGACACCTTCTGCGAGGCGTGCAAGTCCACTGTGGGTAAGACAAACTGACAGAGAGAGAAAGTTGAAGCTGTCAGTCTGGAGGGTCAACAACAACAACAACAACAACGACGACGACTGTCAGTTTGTTTGTTTACTAGTATCTGCTTTATTTCTGCTTAGTTATTATAACAATACATTCCACATCATTGTGTTTGTATATGCTGTACTCATAGATAATGAGTACAGCATATACAGTTAACAGTGATAAGACAACTATAGATGGTGAAGTATGGATAATTAATAATCTCAATAATGTAATTAAACAACCGCAGCTAGTTAGTATGGAATAGCTATGTAACTAAAATATATATAAACTTTATCAGTGTGTACTTAGTAAACCATAGATGGTTATTAAAGATTCGCTAACTATCGTTACATACTAGTTTAGTATAGATGAAAAATTATGCTCGGTTTGGAAAGCGTAGATAGTCGACTGAGATTCATTTGTAGACTATTGATGGTTAGCAGTTGGCTATTAGATGGATATTAGTGTTTTAGAAAAGTTTTATATTCCACAGGTAGTTAACAATGGATATTTAGTAAACCATAGATGGCTATTAAAGATAAATACCTGTACATACTAGTTTACTAGTGTAGATTAATAATTATTTCAAGTTTGGTAGGCGTAGATGGTTAACTGTGATTAATTTGTAAACTTTAGATGGTTTGTAATTCTTGACACTTAGATGGATAGTTATTGTCAATTGAAAAATCAATGGACAATGGTTATTTAGTAAAAGTAAAATGTTTAGTAAAACATAGATGGTTATTATATATATACACACACACACACACACACACACGGTCAGAATTGTTGGTACCCATATGATCAAAGAAGGCTGTGAAAATAAATCTGCATTGTTAATCTTTTTGATCTTTTATTTTAAAAAATGCACAAAAATCTAACCTTTCATTGCAGAATAAGAATTTAAAATGAGGTGAAATATATCATATATATATATATATGATTCTCCAATGAAAGGTTAGATTTTTGTGCATTTTTTAAAATAAAAGATAAAAAGGATTAACAAAGCAGATTTATTTTCATAGCATTCTTTGATCATATTTACCAAGGGTACCAACAATTCTGACCATGTGTGTATATAGGCCTGTCACGATAACTTTTTGTTGTGCGAAATATTGCCCCAGAAATAATTGCGATAAGCGATATTATTGTCATTTTAAAGACCATTTTATGCCACTGAATATATAATCATAATGTAACAGCATAATAATGCAAGGAGGCCTACACACTTCCAAATGACAACAAACGTTTAATTTTTAAGAATATTTAGATCATGGAAATTAAGTATCAAAATATTAGATACCTGAATAAATAGTAAATAAACATTTTCTAACAAAAAGTGCAAAGTAACAAGTAGAAAAAAAGAAAACTGCGCAAAGAACTTGTATGGAGATTTTTCCATCTACAGATTTTTCCCGGACCTTCTTTTCTCCGTAAATTAAGCGTGCACACTATTGCTGAAAAACACAATCACTACTTAGCAGTCAGATGTCCGTATGCACAAAGACACAGATCCCTAAACAAGACCATATCTGCAGATGAAACTTTTTTTGTAGAAGCATTTTTTAAATTTGAACTAGACCACGTTATGTACGAGAAGCTGCAAAAGACACAGGCGCAAGTGGAATGTACAAAACATGGTGACATTAATTTTTAAGTAAATATAATGGGCGATATATTACGTCACCAAAAATTATTGAGGTCATGTACATGTATTGCGCAATAAGTCGATATATTGATTATTGCGACAGGCCTATGTGTATACATATGTATATGTGGGTGTAACGTTTTTTTAAATGTCAAAATATATTTAAATGCATTTTGAATTGTAATAATATTTCACAATATTGTGTGTATATATAGTAGATAATTATAAATAATTTGATAAGTTTTCATATACATAATTAGTAAACTGTGCTTAGTGAACTTGTGTTTTTGTTAAGGATATTTTAATTTAGATTTTAAAAAATCAAAGTCAAAAAATGTATTTACCTTCTAACATAAACAGTTGCAGTAATATAATGACCACTGTAACAGGAGAACACAACAACACCTCAGAGGTGTCAGTCTGGAGTGCATTTCCCAAAAGCATCATTAGCTAACTATGGTCACAAGTTCCAGTGAACTCTTTTGGTAACGATTCAACTTGCGACCATAGTTGCTTTTGGGAAACGCACCCCTGGTCTTTGAGTTTTGGTCCTGACAGTGTCAATAGAAACGTTTCAGCAAGATGTTAGAAAACCACAATCTGGGCCTGTGACCACGTAAATCAAGAGAACATTTTCCTAATAATTATCACACCGTTGTATTTTCATCACACAGACGGATGCAAACAATTCAAAAGATTTAAAAGAGTTTGATGTTAACATGAATGTGAGTTTGCATCTGGGTCTAAACCGTTTTCATCCCACATTCTCGTGCTTCTATAATGTAATTACACAAGAGATCTGCCAAGCTCTGAATCAATCTGCATCAGTCATGTGATGAACGACGCGTTTAGAAAACACTCATTTAAATTTTAAAACCTTTTGATACAAAATCAGTGATTTTTATGCAATGCATAAATGGTGTATTGATGTCTGGACCAGCGCTCATGTGAAAACTGATACGGCAAGGTTTTCACTCACTCATGACAGGCCTTCACATCAGATTAGCTGCATAACCCAATATCCCAGAATAGCCAGAAACTCAGAATTTGGACTTTAAAAAAAAATTTTCTTCTGAATTCTGAGTTTGCATCTCGCAATTCTGTTTTTTTTTTTCTGTTTCTGCCATGGAATAACAAAAAAATATATATAACAGGTGAATAAATACATTTGGACCTTAATTCTCAGAATTGCACATTTCTTTCTTTTTTTTTTCTCAGAATTGCAAGAAAAAATGTCAGAACTGAGAGATAAAAAGTCGCAATTACCTTTTTGATATTTGTGGCGGAAACAAGCTTCCATTGTTGCTTTTATTCTATTCTGATTCATTTGATTTGTCTCTGTTATATTCTATTAGATTCTACTCGTTTCTGTTTCGTTTGATTTAATTTGGGCCTGATGTGTTCTATTCTGTTTGCTTCTATTCTATGGAGTTCTATTCAGATACACTTTAATTTATTCTGTTCTGTTGCGATATTTTTGATTGTGTTTTAAAATGAATACTGCAAATGACATGTGGCAGACTCCTAATAATTTAAAAATAGAAATGTATCTACATTTTACGTCATCATTTAGGCTGTTTAGTATAAGTTTAATTTGTTGAATTTACTATTCATACTAATAATGTGGTGCTTATAGAAAATACAGATGCTACTCTTTCTCGTTGCGATTATCTTAAGTCAAGTGATATCACAAAATTGATTAATAACCAATGGATTAGAATAGTCTATTAAATTATTACGCTAATCATGGACAGCTCTAGTTCTTTTCTCTTCAGTGTGGTAGAGTCTGTAAACTAATGATTCTAACTTTATTGTTCCAGTGGTGTCTGGTTCAGTCATTTTCCAACCAATCATAAACGAATACTAACCTCCCATCACCTCTCCACCCACTTTATCATTATTATTATTTCCTTTGACCCTGAAATTCGCCGGCTTCTCTCACACCACACTTCTGCAGATGTCTGCTTTTGAACGTCTGTAACACATGTCGGCTCACATCCAGCTACCCAGCATCCATGGCTGTCCTTCACTGTCCGTCTTAACTGCTCATTGACATGTGACGCCTCACCGGTCCTCTTTATGACATCATATCCTGTTTTGGAAAAATGCAGCCAGCTAGGGTGAATAAGGTACAGTAAAAATGAGGAAATGAATGTCTATCATGTGCCGTGATGTTCAAAATGAACCTTTTTCCTTTGAATCAAGATTGTTGATGAAAGAATGTTTCATGAAATTATTGGCAAAGCAAATGATCTGATCAAGTCGATAACGCATCTTCTTGTTTTTATTGGGAATGATTCATTGGTGCATGTTATGTTTGTCTTTGTAATCTTTTATTAAATTGATACAAAAATTTACTTTCTGTTTCAGCTGAAGTCGCAAACCCCTCTTACTTTTTCCATCCCTCCCTTCCAGCCGTCTGTGATTGTAGAGACACTTTTCACTGATAAATCCATTGTCTTTCTCTTATAGTCAAAGATATGATTTATTCCCCACTCTGAATGTCATGCAAGTCTAATAATGTTGACTGATTGCAGGGACACAGCAGGTCAGGAGAGGTTTAACAGCATCACTTCAGCGTATTACCGCGGCGCGAAAGGCATCGTGCTGGTGTACGACATCACCAAGCAGGAAACCTTTGAAGACCTGCCTAAATGGATGAAGATGATAGACAAGGTGCTCAAACAACTAAAACACTGATTACTTATCTATTATCTATCTACTTTATATCTAATATCTATATATCCACACTAAGAGAATGGTTTTTACTAATGTGTTGTTTTGCTTCTGTGCAGTACGCATCAGAGGATGCTGAGCTCCTATTGGTTGGTAACAAACTGGACTGTGAGTCTGATCGCGCCATCTCACGACAACAAGCTGAGAGGGTGAGAGCAGTGTTATTGTAGTATTGTTTATATACCATTATAATATTTATTATTTGTTTATAGTTATATTAATAAATACATATTAATAAATTATAAATAAACATAATATATAATAAATACTTTTTAAAATGTTTTTATTTGAGTAATTTTGCCATTTTTTATATATTTTTATTTTAGTAATTTTAGCACTTTGTTTTGATTACTGAAAATTACTTTTAATAGTTTCAGTTTTAGTTAGCAATAACAATGTTGCTAGCTAATTACTTTTTTCTATAAATAAGGTTCTATATAGGTTTCTATATAAAAGGTTCTTCCTTTTTAAAAATATTTCTTAACTTAATATAACTTAAAGGGTTAGTTCACCCAAAAATGAAAATTAGCCCACAAATTACTCACCCTCAAGTCATCCTAGGTGTATATGACTTTCTTCTTTCAGACGAATCCAGTCGGAGTTATATAAAAAATTGTCTTTGATCTTTCAAGCAGTTTAATGCCACTCAGCGGGTGTTGCATGCATTGTGTTTTGTTTTGATCTCTCCCCTGCGTCACTTCTGAGCGGCGCATGCGCAACGCTGAACTCATACGTCATCCGCGAAGATGCCGAGTTATAAAAAGTAATAAAAACTTTATTACTAAATTTTAGTTTAAATTTGAGTAGTTTTGTTAGGTGCTTTTGTCATTTTGGTACTTCAAATAATTTATTTCAGTTAATTGCTAAGGCAACATTTCCAATATTTTGAAATTATATACTGTATATAATGCACTTATCAAAATAACTAAAGCAATCAAATAGCAGACATTTTGATTTTAATGACAAAAAGAGGTATTCAAAATGTATAACTTAACTTACAATCTGTAAAGGAGTGGAAAAATATGTTCAAATGCATTGAGTGTCAGAGAATTTTACATGAGCAAAACAGGCACTATTTTTGGATCCAGCTCCTCAGAATTTGTTCAGCAAATATGATTAAATATATTAATATGAGTGATGTTATTATGCCTTTTTATTATTTGCTATTAGAACTTTATTATAGCCTGAATTAACTTCAAATTCAGCTGTATAAAGCTGTCTCAGGTTTACCTTGAGTTCAGTGGAGGACAATGCTGTGTTTACGAGTCTTTCAGTCCGTCCAAAGCCCTGGACACAGGGACATTATTCTGCCTGAGACCTCCACAAAGAGATTCCTTGAATGCTTTGAATAATGCCTCCTTCAACCTTCCCAAACCCACTGAGACTAAAGCTAACAGGACTAGTGAAAGCACACTTTACAGGAATGGTTCACCCAGACATTGTTATTTACTTGATCTGAGTATCATAAAAGCAGTCCGTACATCTCATACAAGCTCTGCAATAGTTTGGAGTGTTACCATTAAGGAGAATAAAGAACCTAAGTCAGCTGATTGCATTAGAAATGTACTAAATATTGAATTATTTGAATATTTAACCCATTCAGAAGCACTATAGCACTGAAATAAATGTCTTCATGTCTGGCAGTTTGCTTCACGGATATCAGGGATGCGTTTCTGTGAGGCCAGTGCCAAGGATAACTTTAATGTGGATGAGATATTCCTTAAACTAGTTGATGACATTTTGAGTAAGGTAAGTGGAGCTGCTTTGTTATGGTTTCAACAAATTCTTTGTTCATCAAAATGTTTTTTGAGATTGTTTACATAAGTGCATTAAACAAAAACCTCTTTTGAAGATTTGACAACATAAACTTTGCCAGTGCAGTAATTATTTATCATTTCTTTCTTAGAAGTTTCAGTTTATTATGATTCCCATTAGGCCTGCATTATTTGGGGGTAAAAAATATGATTTTGATTTTAAATTGATTTCATGATTTTAAATCATGGTGAAAAAAAAAGTGATTTTAAGTTAATTTTGTGAATAAATAGTCATTTCTAAATAATAAACTAAATATTATAATATTTTACTGTAAAAAAAAGTCAGGTATTTAAGAGAAATTATACAGTAATAACAATTTCATTTGACAGTAAAACAAAGTATATATAGTGTAGTTGTATATTTTTTTTTATAAAAAAATGTTTATCATATTTCTTGATAGTTTATTGTATTTATTATATTCAATTTTTTTATTATGTGTGTATTTCCTTAATTCATTATTGGTTCAGTTTGCTATGGGATGAGGAACGAAGTAGAAAAAAACATTTGACTACATCACACACACAACTGTAATATTGCAATATATTTCTTAATTTCTTCATTTTCAAATGTTGAGCTTTAATTTTGACAGAAACCCATAGGGAGCCTAAAGCGTCTCTTTTGTTGACAGCATCTAGTTTATAAGCAAGTTTGGGAAGATGGCTGGCGCTTGTTGCGTTCCCAAATGCAATCCTAACTTGCAGCATGCATTTCAGACTTATTTTGATTCATCGTGCAGCCCTAATTCTCCTAAATCTCTTTTGAGCAAGAATTGACCATTTTTGTGTTCAATGCACATCAGTCATTCTTTAAAGAGTCTGTAAATGTTGTCTTTCCCCAGATGCCTCTTGAAGTCCCCAGTAAGGAGCTGTCCAACAGTGTCCTGTCCCTTCAGCCCGAACCCGAAATCCCACCAGAGCTGCCTCCACCTCGCATGCGCTGCTGTTGAGACTCGGTTCTATAACCCAACACATGCTGTTACAGACTCCCGCCACCAGGGGTGACCAGCCCATACCGATGATGGCCTGTCATTACCAGAGAAGATGAAAGATATATATATATAATCGTCAATATAATCATCCCTCACAAACCATAGACTGTGCAATTTAACATACTCCGTATTTTGGTACCTCTAGATGCCAATAAAGAACATCCGTGTCATCACTCCCACGCATAGATGCATTTCTTTTTGACGGCCCGTACATGCACTACCTCATTTCTGGGAAGCACAGGATTGCGTTTGTCCGACATGTACACGCGTCACATGCATGAAATGAGTACAAACGTATGTCATAACCCATCAATTCCTATAGTTTACATCGTCATATATTCTCGGTAGAAGCAAGAATCTTCCATTTCTATCGGACGACGGATAATCTACAATTGTCTTTCTCTTCTCTTCACTTTTCACGGCTGATTTCTTACGGAAAACGTTCCCGGTCTCAAATTAGGAAGCTTCTTTTCAAATTGTTTTGGCATTAAAAGCAAAGTGGATGTACATTTCATGCCAAGCGTGATTCATTTCTGTCGGCTGTGTTTATGAGGTGGTTCGTTCGGCTTATTATTAATGGCCAGCGTGGTTGGGTTGTCTTTATGCCTTACGTTCTATCAGTGTTACTGTTTTTGAGGTGGATTTTGTGTCATCCGTTGTGTTTTGCACTACAGTCCATTTGTAGCTAGTTTACGAGCAGCTGAAATGCTGGACGTTAGTGAAGGACCTGTGTAGAGAAGATGAACCTTATCATTTAGCAGCAGAGTTTTGTTGCTTCCTAGTTCTTTTTCGGTGTCATTTAACTCGAGTAGAATAAAGGAAGGTGAATAATTGGGTGTCGCACGGACTGAGTTCATTGTTTTATTCGCTGGATCTGGATTGCAGAACTGAAATGCTCTCGGCGAAAGGGCTATTTCTGTGTGGAGAGAGTAAAACGGGACTTTGATTTTGATACTCGGATGGAAGAATAAGTACACTTGTTCCTAACAACACTCTTCAGTTAACATCACTATGCTTCTGCGTTCCTGGACAAACCACTGACTCCACTGGATTTACAGTGAATTGAACCATTTGCCTGCAGTAGATGAAGGACTGTAAGAATGATATAGTTATATAGTAAAATATAACAGGTGTTTGATGGGAACGGCTGTTTCAGCTGAATCAGATATGCAGTAGCAACAGGTTCTGTGTGAGTTTATGGGAATATGATGCATTTTTTATAAAAACTGTCCTTAAATATAGAAGACTGACAGGGTTACTGTGCGTCTGGAACGACATCTACCAAAAAAAATCATTCTGAAAGAATTTCCTGAAAACATGTTGAGGTCATTTTTGGCCACAAAATCATAAGAAAAATATTGCTTAAAGAAATTGGGGTTGTTTCCCATTATTTCTATGACAATTGGTGTAATGTGAAAAAAAAAAAAAAACTTAATTAATGGCAGTACAACAACAAATATTAACACATTTTTTTATTTTCCTCTTTTTATAAATAAATCTAATGCATCATTTTCTCTCTCATTACAGTGATATGGGTGGAAATATGCTTAATTTTCATGAAAATAAAGTCATAATCCAAACAATAGACTTTGGTTTCATATATATATATCTTGGGGTTAAATATTTTGGAAAGGTTTAATGAGAGTCAGCGTATGTCAACTAATAGAAAGATGGTTTACGTGTGTAGTGGCGGTGTGTTTATGTTTTTTGTAATGCATTAATATTCTCGTCCGAAACCAGTGTAGTATTAAATAACCAATCTTGTGTCTTGTTTTTTGAGGAACTAATGTTTGACTGTTGCTGAGGTGAAAACAGCTTTTTTTTAAAAATATTATTCTAATAACTCAGTTTAACTCTGTTTTATTTTCAGATTTGAACTGTGTGTCCTTTGAAAGCTTATAACCGACCAAACCTGCCGTTGATGTGTTAACAGTGTTAGGGAAAGGGTACTAACCTCAAAAAGTTGATGTTTGCGGGCCATATTGTGCCATATTTTTGAGGAACTAATGTTTGACTGTTGCTGAGGTGAAAACAGCTTTTTTTAAAAATTATTATTCTAATAACTCAGTTTAACTCTGTTTTATTTTCAGATTTGAACTGTGTGTCCTTTGAAAGCTTATAACCGACCTAAACCTGCCGTTGATGTGTTAACAGTGTTAGGGAAAGGGTACTAACCTCAAAAAGTTGATGTTTGCGGGCCATATTGTGCCATATTGTAACCTTATAAGATACTCTTAACGATCCCCCGATCCTTTTCACCAAGTGCTTTGTACTTTCTTTTTCTGATTGGCAAATGTTTAATTTATTTTGGTTGGTAGTTGAATTTCTTCTGAAGCTGGAATCAGATTTTACTAAGCTATAAACATTTTTAGTTTTGTTTTTCTTTTTTATTATTATTTCTCTAATTTATTTACAGCAAAACGCCCCAATTACATTTACATTTGTTGTGTGCGTGAAGGCATTTTCTCAAACCTTTGGCCTTTTTTAGTTTTATTGTTTTTATTTATATTTTATTTTATTACATGTTCTTCAGAAAGACTGTCCAGTGAGCTGTCTTGAAAAAGTTAAACCCAACACGCTCTTTAAACTCGGTAGAGTTTCTTTGTTCTAGTAGAATTACATGTTGCCTTTTATGAATCTTCATTTTGTACAGAATAGCCTTAGTCTTGGTTTAGTATCTCAGCCAAACACAGTATTTACTACATTACAATAAAAAATAGAATTATACGTTGATATTACTTATTTGAAACAGTTTGGCATGTTTAAGCAGTTTTGTGGTATTTATAACTTGTAAGTTATAAATGCAAATAAAGATATATATTTATTACACATATGTGTGTAACCACTCTGATGCTTTTCATCCTCTTTATGTATGCATTAACTTACACAATTCTATTCTATCTATTATTATATTGCAAAATGTAATGTTTTGATTTCGACTTGTACTGCCTCTTTTTCACAGTATGGTGGCGCTGTTGGATAAACAAACGAATTGTAAATCTAGCCAGTGTTAATTTAGTGTTGTTGATATATAGTTTTTAACAATATTTTAAATTAGCGTTCATTTTACTATTTTCAGTTATTATTTGAGTTGTATTTTTTTTTTATAATATTACTAGCCTATTTAGGTCAATTTATTTTATTTCAGATTTGGTTTTAGTTTAGTATTAGTTTGTATTCATTTCCAGCTAGTATTTAGTGCTTTCATTTGAACTGATTTTAGTTGGTTGCATTGTTACTTTGGTAAGACTTTACAATAAGGTATCATTTGTTAACATTAGCTAATGTGTTAACTAACATGAACGATACATTTATTACATTATTTATTAATCTTTGCTAATGTTGGTGAATAAAAATACAGTCGTTCATTGTTCGTGTTCACAGAGCATTAATAATGTTAAACACTAGTGATTTTAATAAATGCTGAAATTAACAGTAACTAAGATTAATAAATGCTGTAGAAGTATTGTTCATCCTGAGGTCATGTTTTCATATATATATATCTTGGGGTTAAATATTTTGGAAAGGTTTAATGAGAGTCAGCGTATGTCAACTAATAGAAAGATGGTTTACGTGTGTAGTGGCGGTGTGTTTATGTTTTTTGTAATGCATTAATATTCTCGTCCGAAACCAGTGTAGTATTAAATAACCAATCTTGTGTCTTGTTTTTTGAGGAACTAATGTTTGACTGTTGCTGAGGTGAAAACAGCTTTTTTTTAAAAATATTATTCTAATAACTCAGTTTAACTCTGTTTTATTTTCAGATTTGAACTGTGTGTCCTTTGAAAGCTTATAACCGACCAAACCTGCCGTTGATGTGTTAACAGTGTTAGGGAAAGGGTACTAACCTCAAAAAGTTGATGTTTGCGGGCCATATTGTGCCATATTGTAACCTTATAAGATACTCTTAACGATCCCCCGATCCTTTTCACCAAGTGCTTTGTACTTTCTTTTTCTGATTGGCAAATGTTTAATTTATTTTGGTTGGTAGTTGAATTTCTTCTGAAGCTGGAATCAGATTTTACTAAGCTATAAACATTTTTAGTTTTGTTTTTCTTTTTTTATTATTATTTCTCTAATTTATTTACAGCAAAACGCCCCAATTACATTTACATTTGTTGTGTGCGTGAAGGCATTTTCTCAAACCTTTGGCCTTTTTTAGTTTTATTGTTTTTATTTATATTTTATTTTATTACATGTTCTTCAGAAAGACTGTCCAGTGAGCTGTCTTGAAAAAGTTAAACCCAACACGCTCTTTAAACTCGGTAGAGTTTCTTTGTTCTAGTAGAATTACATGTTGCCTTTTATGAATCTTCATTTTGTACAGAATAGCCTTAGTCTTGGTTTAGTATCTCAGCCAAACACAGTATTTACTACATTACAATAAAAAATAGAATTATACGTTGATATTACTTATTTGAAACAGTTTGGCATGTTTAAGCAGTTTTGTGGTATTTATAACTTGTAAGTTATAAATGCAAATAAAGATATATATTTATTACACATATGTGTGTAACCACTCTGATGCTTTTCATCCTCTTTATGTATGCATTAACTTACACAATTCTATTCTATCTATTATTATATTGCAAAATGTAATGTTTTGATTTCGACTTGTACTGCCTCTTTTTCACAGTATGGTGGCGCTGTTGGATAAACAAACGAATTGTAAATCTAGCCAGTGTTAATTTAGTGTTGTTGATATATAGTTTTTAACAATATTTTAAATTAGCGTTCATTTTACTATTTTCAGTTATTATTTGAGTTGTATTTTTTTTTTATAATATTACTAGCCTATTTAGGTCAATTTATTTTATTTCAGATTTGGTTTTAGTTTAGTATTAGTTTGTATTCATTTCCAGCTAGTATTTAGTGCTTTCATTTGAACTGATTTTAGTTGGTTGCATTGTTACTTTGGTAAGACTTTACAATAAGGTATCATTTGTTAACATTAGCTAATGTGTTAACTAACATGAACGATACATTTATTACATTATTTATTAATCTTTGCTAATGTTGGTGAATAAAAATACAGTCGTTCATTGTTCGTGTTCACAGAGCATTAATAATGTTAAACACTAGTGATTTTAATAAATGCTGAAATTAACAGTAACTAAGATTAATAAATGCTGTAGAAGTATTGTTCATCCTGAGGTCATGTTTAATGTAATAATTTTCCTTTTTCGGTATAACTTCAGTTAAAGTTTTAATATATATATATTTTTTGTCGTTTTAGAAGTTTTTGTTTACATAAATGTCTTTATAGTTGTTATTCTTTTGCAGTTGTTATTCTAGCTGAAACACGTTTTTTTATATTTTATTTGACTTCATTTAAAGTTTCAGGTAACAATAATTTGTTTTAATGGTTAACAATATCTCTGGTTTATTTGTCAAGGTTTGATCTGTCAGCACCATTAGAAAAATTGTGCTGTTCTGTAATGTTGTTAAAGACTTGTTAGTTTTCATTATTTTATTTTCCTTACACATATCCAAAGGTAACACGCTGTTTCTCTCCCTGTGTCTCCGTTGTAGTTACGCGTGTGTGCGCGCGCCTCTCGTTGCGTCTCCACGCGTACGCACGCACGCACGCACGCGTGCCTGACCTTTTTTTGTCGTTTTAGAAGTTTTTGTTTACATAAATGTCTTTATAGTTGTTATTCTTTTGCAGTTGTTATTCTAGCTGAAACACGTTTTTTAATATTTTATTTGACTTCATTTAAAGTTTCAGGTAACAGTAATTTGTTTTAATGGTTAACAATATCTCTGGTTTATTTGTCAAGGTTTGATCTGTCAGCACCATTAGAAAAATTGTGCTGTTCTGTAATGTTGTTAAAGACTTGTTAGTTTTCATTATTTTATTTTCCTTACACATATCCAAAGGTAACACGCTGTTTCTCTCCCTGTGTCTCTGTTGTAGTTACGCGTGTGTGCGCGCGCCTCTCGTTGCGTCTCCACGCGTACGCACGCACGCACGCACGCGTGCCTGACCTGTACCCGAGCGCGAGGAGGGGTGTGTTCGGTATTTGTGTGTGAAAAACAAGCGCATGCGCTCCACGAGACCCGAGACCCGGACGGGGAGCGTCAGACCGCAGCGGCTGCAGATTTTTCCCGTCAGTCGCGGGGGGAGACGCGGCCAGGAGGCGGAGAGGACAGCAGGGAGAGATGGGAGTACCGTAATGCCGGGGGGAGGGAGGGATGGACGGACGGATTGATTCAACGCACAGAAGCACGGAGATTCTCACTGGACACCGCATCATCCACCGTATTCCGTTCGGAAGCGACGCGGCGATGGCTGAGGGCGAGTGAATCTAAAGTGATGAGATCCGTCTGTCAGGTTGTGTAATGGAGAGCTCCACTGGCTCCGACACCAAACCGCAGAGCCATCCTCATCCTCAGGTGGAGAAGAAGAGGTTAAACCGCGTGCCGTCTCCTGCCAGACCCGTCCTGAAGGATGTCCACTCGCGAACGGCCAAACCGATCGTGCCGAAATCCCCCAAATTCAACAAGCAGCACGCGTCCGCCGCGCCGGTGACGCCTCACAGCCGCGTTCCGAGACGCACCGTCCCGAGCGCGAAGGACAAACCCGCATCAGCACCTGCAAAAAGCAACATCAAGCCCTCAGCGACAAAAAAGGCCGTTAAGGTCACTCGGCATGCAGCATCCGAACCGAAACCGGCCTGCAAAGCGGTGGATACCAAAAACAAGGCACGGCTGGCCCCGGTACGCGTCCCCACCGGACGCGGCGTCTGTCAGACGGACAGCAGCTCGGATTTGTCCGACTGTCCCTCCGAGCCGCTGTCCGACGAGCAGAGACTCGTTCAGGCCGCCAGTAGCGACGCGGAGTCGGGCAGCGGATCCGGTTCGAGCGAGCAGGCGGCCGGGGTTCGGGTTCGGATCTCAGGGGTGGGAGCTGCACCTGTGCCCGGTGCGCACGCGGACAAATGCAAAGCCGAGAAGGACGCACAATTCAAAGCGGAGGGCAAGGAAACGGCCCAGGAGGAGCTGCTGAGGGAAATCGAAGACCTTCGATCGGAAAATGACTACCTCAAGGTGAGCCGACGCACAGAAATGTACACTACCACGGAATTCCTAAGAGTAGCTTGGAGTAGGCTACGGTGGAAAATTGTTCTTGAATGTTCAGTATTATCAGGATGAAGCTGCAATTAAGGTGATGCTTTAAACTTTTAAAAAAGTACTGTGGTAGTACCATGGTGCAGTGGGGAGCTTTGATTTATACTATACTACGAATGATTTTTTTATTATTTTATTTTTTTTTAATTTGTATTTTTTTTTATTAGTTGTTTATTGTGTGTGTGTGTTTGTGTACATAAAATATAATAAAATACAAAGATAATATACAAAATCGGTCAATTATACATTTATATCAATATTTATATTTTAATTGTTTTATTAAAAAATGATATGCATGTATGTAATCTGATATTTAAAGGATTTTCCTCTATATAAAATTTTTATATTTATTTATAAAATTCAATTTTTTATTCTGAATATAATATAAAATATAAATAATGTAATATAAAATGTAGATTTTTTTTATTTTTGTTATTTGTATTTGTAATTAATGTCTGGTGTTTGTCTGGAGAATTAAGGGTTAAGCTGCTGCTATAAATCCGTTTGAGAGTTAAAGACTGTTATTTGTTTTTGCACATGGTGACCCTCTTTATGTTCTCGCCCATGTATTAAATTCATCCTATTCACGTACACCGTCCACAGTACTGCAGCATTTGTTCATTAAAGCATCTGCTTAGTCCTCTGACAGACATGTTTGCCAGAGTAAATAAATACATAAAAGTGACATGGCACATTTTTTTGGCCCTCGAAGGGCCTTATAAATATGATACAACATCTTTTACTAGTAGAACTGTGATGGTATTAACTGACTGTGCCATTAAGGTACTCCAAGATACTTAAAAAAATCTCATGGTACTTTGAGGACAGCAAGATCTAGATCCATAAATCTGCACTTTAACTGATTTTAGGTCACATCAGTCCACAGAGAACAGATGAAACCAACATGCATCAGAAAGACCCTCAAACTCCCGCAGGAAACACATCACAGTCTTCGCCCTCAGTGTGATGGGTAGATGAAGGCAGACCTAATTAGCATAATTCCATAAATGATTTATCTTATTTGTCAGATGTGCGGGGCTCGGCTACTGTCGCAAACAGGATTTTCATAAGTTTATCTCTGAAGACGTGGTGCTAATCCGCTTTAGTAGCTGTGTGTGTGTAACGGCCGCGTCCCTCGCAGGAGCCGGGGCCGGACCATGTGTTTGGCAGATGTCTGTGTGCTTATCGCTCTTATTTCTGTCTCTCTATCTCTCTGTAAGTAATACTGCAGCATGTATGCATCCGTATTTAAACAAATAAACAGCAATAGATCCATGTTATAGTGCTATAGTATGACATTAATCATGTAGTCCACCATAACTCATGTTTGACAGGAACATCCTTACGGCTGCTGTCACATGACTTTGTCCCCAACATCATACAGTGAAGGTCATTGTGTTTGGGCTGTTTGTCACTGTCTGTGTCTCGCTCTCGCTGTCTTTGTTTGTCTGTCTTTCGTTGCCTTTCTGTCGTTCTTCCTCGACCTTGTTTGCACTGAATGCACTGAGGCATTGTGCAGTATTTACTGAGAAATGAGGCGTCACAAATGACAGTCGTTCATTACAGTTCAGGACGGGGTTTCACTGATGACTACAGTTTCTTTACCTGCAGTCTTCTTTGTTTTTGTCATTTTTTGAAGTGTCTTTTTCTTTAGGGAGGTTGTTTTGTCAATTTTAAGACCATGATTTCAGTTCATGTACATCGCAAAATTAGATTCATTTAATTAGAATCCTGAATGAGTATTTGTATTCTATTTCTAATTTCAGTCCTACTGTAATTCTGATTCTCATTCTAGTTCCAATCCTGATTCTTATCCTAGACTTTTCTAGAATTGTCATTCTCATTCTGGCTTTTAGTTTTTAATTCTGATTTTAGATTTTACAAGTAAATGTTACAAAATTTCATTTTGATTTGAAGTAAATGTACAGGTTTCTGAGCACAAATGTATTTAATGTGATTCAGAGTTTTAACGTGATTCTAATCCTGATTCTTATCCAAATGATGATTTTCATTGTAGTTCTAAATTATTATTCTCATTCTGTTGTTTTCATTCTGATTCTGATCTTCATTCTAGTTCTAGTCCAATTCTGATTCGGATTCTCCTTCTGTTTCTAATCAAGATTTTTATTCTGATTCTAATCCTAATTCTTATTCTCATTCTGTTTCTAATATTAATTCTCATTCTAATTACGATTCTCATGGTTTCCATTCTTAATTTGATTCTGACTCTCATTCTGATTACGTTGTTCATTCTAATTCTTATGATTTTAAACCTACTAAAAGTATGTTTATTTCATAATCCGATCCATTTTAACTGGACCCCTGAATGAGTATGATTCTGAATTTTATTCTGATTTTAATCTTGATACTCATTCTAATCCAAATTCTGATTTTCATTCTAGTTCGGGTTCCAGTTCTGATTCTCATTCTGTTTTTAATTTTGATTTTAATTCTAAATATGGCGTCTTTTCATTCTTCATTCTGATGTTCATTTGGATTCTGACTCTTATTCTGATTGTGCTATTCATTCTGACTTTCATTCTGATTTTTAATATGATTTTAATCCTGCAGAAAGTAAATCACGAATTATGAAATGACATAATCAGATCCAATTTAATCAGACTCCTGAATGAGTATTATTCTGAATTTTGTCCTGATTCTCATTCTAATCCTATTCTAGTTCTGTTTTCAATTCTGATTCTGTTTCTGTTTCTAACCCTGATTCTTCATTCTAATTCTGATTTTAGTTCTGGTTCCAATTCCGATTCTCGTTCTCTTTCGGTTTCTGTCAGGATTCTCTTTCTGATTCTAATCCTGATTCGGTTGCTTTAGGATGAAGTGGACGAGTTGCGAGCAGAGATGGAGGAGATCAGGGACAGTTACCTGGAGGAGGAGGTGTACCAGCTCCAGGAACTGCGCAGGGAACTGGACCGCTCTAACAAGAACTGCCGGATCCTTCAGTACCGCCTGCGCAAGGCTGAACAGAAGAGCCTGCGTGTAGCTCAGACCGGACACGTTGATGGAGAGCTTCTGCGCGGTCTGGAGCAGGACCTCAAGGTGCTTTTTTATAGACAATGTGTGGGGTTAAATATGTGTTTTGATATTAAGATCATAAGGTAACATTGGTTAAATTCTCTAACTAATGAAAACAAGGTAATAAAACACATCCTTCTGTCCACAGGTGGCCAAAGATGTATCTGTGCGTCTGCACAATGAACTGGAGACGGTGGAAGACAAGCGCACACGGGCGGAGGATGAAAACGAGCAGCTCAGGCAAAAGCTCATCGAGGTGGAGATCTCCAAACAGGCCCTGCAGAACGAGCTCGAGCGAGCCAAAGAGGTACAACACACTTCAGTATTACATATTCGATACCTGTGCATAGTGCACACTTTTATTGAACTGGATCACAGAGGGAAGACTTTTATAAGAAGAGATATTTAAAAGCATTTCCGTAAAGTAGTGTGCATCTTTTTATTCATGTGTAATGTTCATTGTTAAGTACAGAGAGATGTGGTTGTAGTCTTAACATTTAAAAAATATTCTGGGTTGTTTACTTAAAGGTGACATATCATGAAAATCTGAATTTCCAGGTTTTAAGTGCTATATCAGGTCCCCGGTGCATCTACCAACCAAGGAAACGTGAAATTTTTCGGCTAGTGTCTGAAAGAACGAGCGCGTCTGATTTTGCTCCCTTGGTGACGTGGCAAAGGGATCTCATTATAATATTACGATTTATTTCCCATCAGTTTACCTTCACAGACATAACCGACTGTTTTTGTAACTCGTGTGTTTTTAACGTAAACTTGTGTGTGAATGAGAAGTTGGTTTAGTACTCGCATGCTGTGACAGCCGCTTTCTGTGCGTGTGCACATTTAGAAAACCGTATATCAAAAGTTTAAACTAATATGGTTTAAAACGCATGATTTCAGCGCGATACACATGATAATCAGAACCAAAACAGATGTTTTTAGCAGGTATGAATTGTAAAGATGCAGCTCTATTCTGGAAAAGGGGGCGGGGAGCAGCAGCTCATTTGCATTTAAAGAGAAAGGCACGAAAAACAGCATGTTTCTGCATCCACTCAAAATAGGCATTTTCAAAATGATATAATAAATGATCTGTGGGGTATTTTGAGCTGAAACTTACAGACACAGTCTGGGGACACCAGAAATTTATATTACGTATTGTAAAAAGGGGCATAATATGTCTCCTTTAAAGCTAAGCTTGTGTGGACAGCTTTTTAGCTGATTACTACATACAATAATTTCTTTAGTTTGTAAAAACAAGCAGGAAATGCATTTACAATAATGCACTTGCAATGAAATGCAACTCAGATTTGTTTTTAAATCAAAAAATGTGAAGCTTGTGTTTTTGTTAATGCAGCCTTAAGATTTTTTTCGAATATCATGCATAAATCTTTCCTAAAATGTGATGTGTTTGCACGTTTGAATTAGTGTGATAGATATTTTGGTCATCTTTATAATAAGATCCCATTAATGTTTGTTAATGCATTAAGCAATGAGCAATAAGGTGAATACAGGTAAATTGGGACACTTTTTGCAATTGAGATGATTGGATAATATCTCCCCGTTATCCTGAATCAACCCCACTTTTGTTACAGTATTTATTCATATGTTTTTTAACATTAGTTAGTTCATGTTTGGTCCTTTAAATACCATTAAATAACTTTTGATTTTAATAATGTATTTGTAAATGTTGGAATTAACATTAAGATTAATAAACACTTTAGAAGTGATTTAATTTTTAGTTCACATGAACTAATGTAGTGAATATTAACAAATGGAACCTTATTGTAAAGTGTTACTGCACTCGATTGGTTATTTGTATTGCAGACATGTACTGCTTGTTTTCATCAAATGATAAATCATTTTCTGTGGCAACCGACTGCATTATTAGATGTAAGTTGTAAATAACCCTGAATATTACTTGAAGGCAGTTTAAGCAAACCTGGAAATGATTCACAGACTGTAGAAATGCTGTGATGTAAATCTTGCTGTATCACCTTTGTTGAATAAGGCAGTTAAACTCAGGCGGCCCGAGGGTTGGACTTCCACCCACTGTTAGCGTACTGTGAATTGCTTTGAAGTATGGATGAATACATTAACTTTGAAGCCTGCTGTCCTGTGCATTAATGCATGAGAGGCCGTAGCGGCTAATCTGCTTCTGTAATGCTTGAGTTAATGTTCTCCTATTGTGCAATTAAAGTACAGTATGTGCAATAACCTTATACTTATTTATCACCCTAAACCCTAGTACATCCCTACAACTTATCTTATTTTATTCTATTCCTATTCCCTCTGTAGCACACCTGTACATACAATTTATTATTTTATTTTTTTTGTGGTTTATATTTATGCATGTGCATTTTATTCACATCTCACTTTTTTTATCTGTGTGTTGTTGTTGTCTCCGTGTACTGGAAGCTTGTGACACTATAACAAATTCCTTGTATGTGCAAACATACTTGGCAATAAAGCTCTTTCTGATTCTAATTGGATGCTAAGGAGTTACTCTGGAGTTGGTCAGGTTAATCTGAAACTAATCTGGAAAGACTAAGAGAGTAAGAGATTTACTGTGGAGAGTAAATGTGGATGTGATGCACATGTCAGCGTATTAGAATGATTTCTGAAGGATCGTGTGACACTGAAGACTGGAGTAACGATGCTGACAATTCAGCTTTGCATCACTGGAATAAATTACGTTTTAAAATATAGAGAAACACAGAGAAAATCTATTTTAAATTGTAATAATATTTCTTAATTTTACTGTATTTTTGATCAAACAAATGCAGAATTGGTGCATTTATTTGTGCAAAATTAGCATTTATTTTTGCCTATTTGTCTATATGGCCTATTTTGCATAGTCTTTTTCATATTTAGTCCAATTTTAGAGCTGCTTTACAAATATGTATGTGTGTACGCTGTACTCTTGTTATTGCAGTTCAAACAGCAGAGGATCACAACAGTGAATCATTGCACTGGTATTCCAGAATCCCCTCTGATTCTCTGAGATCTGCTGCATTGTAAAACATCCCCTGGGGGGAACAACAAATCTTCTTAAAGGAACAGTTCATCTGAAAATTTTAATTCTGTCATTGTTTATTCTCCCTCGTGTCGTTTGAAAGCTTGTATGGCTTTCTTTCCTTTATGTGGAACAGAAAATGCACGCTGCTTTTTTGAGCAGACTAAGGCCCAATCCCAATTCTACCCCTTAGCCCTTCCCCTTTCCCCTACCCCTCCGTTTCGCGTGTTCACGTGAAGGGGTAAGGGTGTCTCGATTCTCTTTTGGTTGGAGGGGTAGGGGCAAGGGGAAGGGCCAGACAGCCCTTCAAACGAAGATTTTTCGGGACCACACTCCGAATGAAGGGGTATGAATTATCTCAGCGTAAACCGGCTTCAGCGGCAACATGGCTGCCCGAGCGAACTAAAAGTAAGCACATAAATGTAAGCATTTTTGGCATTAATAAAGATTTTAACGAAAAGTAATCATTTGTTTGATGTTACATTCAATCGTGAGTTCATATTTACGGTCATGTTTCTCAAAGAAATGTTTGCAAAAAAAATCGCTAATATTTGCTAACTAACGTCATATCATTATAGACTGCACGATAGTGCCACAACATATATTCATGTCTGATCAGGGCGATAACCACCGTAGACATTAAGGGGGGCTAGTCCCCCCAATAATTAGAAATCGCTAAACCCTTTTCTCAAATATTAATTAATAATTAATTAAAGGCTCTAATGCACACCAGCACACCAGTAGGTGTGTGTATTGTAGGAGCTAGACGACGTATGATGACGTGTGACGGCATAGTAGTGGTGTCCCAATTCTTAGGGGTATATTTTCACCCCTACCCCTTGACACTGTGTTTCAAGGGACAAGGGGAAGGGGTAGGCGGAGGGGAAGGGGAAGGGGTTTCAAATAGAATTGGGATTGGGCCTTAGAGTGGCGGTGTTCATTTTTGGGTGAACTGTTCCTTTAAAAACAGATCAGTCAGCCTTTATGGTCTAAATTAATTTTTGTTTTATTTTTGTATGAATATTTATCATGTATTTTGGAAAGGTAAACACACACAAGGGCGTGTGTGAAGGAGAGAAACCGTTGAAATGAGTGTTAGCGCATTGTGAGCTATAGCGCGTCTCTCTGGAGGTTTGCCCCAGAAAATGTCTAGCTCCACTTTTTTTCAGCGTTCATCACACCATACCCTTCATTTTCCCATGCCTCCCTTCGCCCCACACACAACAGATGTGGATGAAATGGAGAATCATGCAGTTTCTTGCACACTGCCATGTTCAATTAACTTTACGTGCTTTTCCATCTGATATCATGCCTTAAGTTTAAAGGGAATGCCAACCTTGACTCGACGTTAACGGCTTTAGATATTAAAATTGTTGAAATATTAAAGTCAACATGAAATCAAAACTGACCCTAATACACATTCCTTGTCTTAATGTGAACGATTTATTGGTGCACATTATTCTTTAGAAAGCATGTTTGTTTAAATTGTTTCTCATTGTATATGTCGTTACATTTCAAAATGTTGGATGATGTATATCTTAAAACCCTATTATTTATTTATTTATTTATTTATTAAAAGGTAAAGCAAAATACCAAAACATACATGATATACATGCATATATATATATATATATATATATATATATATTTAAATACATTTAAATTCAAAATTATAATTAAAAATATTTAAAAAAATAAAACATAAAAAATATAACAAATGAATGAAAGGAAAGGAAAACATTAATTTGAACAAGCAATTATTTGACAGTAGGACATTTTTTTAATATAAAAAAGAATCATATAGCAACTCAAGAACAGTAAATACAGTATAAAATGACTCTTGATCAGTGAGATCTTTTCAAAGCACCTTTATTTTCTACCTGCACGCATGGCAGAGGTTTGGATGACTCGTTCACACGCTAAACGGATTGGAATGTGGTTAAGCTGGGCAGACGGGATGCTGTTTCTGCTCAAAGTTCTGCTCTAAATACTGATCTGGCTGTGAAGGAGCCATTCTGAACTAAAAATACAGCGTTCAATGTCATCTGAGTTCAGGACGGTGCAACTCTAGATTTCAAGATTCTCAAAGTCTGTGCTTTATAATATAATGCTGCCTTGTTTTGGTGCATTCTTGTGGTCTTGTTTAAAATACTGTATATATCAATAGTGGCTTGAACTGCTATGTTTGCAGTTTCTTGAGTGACATTTTGTCTTGAGTTTGTCTGCTTCTCTTGTTCTTATTAGTGTCATTGGTGCTTTGTTTTACGGAACCTTCAATATTCATATTCAGGGTCAAA